GTGAATGTACCATAACTTCTCAATCCATTCAGTTGTGGCTGGACATCTGGGCTGTTTTCATGTTCTTGTGATGGTGAATAAAGCTGTTACAAACATCCTTGCCTCTAAGGATGCCAAAACTTCATCTCATATACTTTTAATATGTTGCCAGGAGGTGGCAGTCCTTAGAAAAAAGACACCATGCTTGGAAAAGTTAGTGAAAGAGGAAGGCCCTTAATGAGAAGGACTGACACAGGGACTACAAAAATGGACTTGAGCATGATAATGAGACATAATAAGTCCAGGTTTCACTCTGTTGCTCAAAGGCTTGCTATGAGCGTAGTCAACTAGATAGCATCTAACAACATATTATTTGTTGTCTGGGACTAGGATGGGGGCTATATCGAGTATGGGGAACGTTCTACTAGGCAGGCAGGACCAGACTGAGATCCAACTAGGAAGCACATTAAAGGTGGTCAATCTGTACCCCTGGATTCTTTTATCATGTCCTTTTTCTCTTCCTTAGGGTGCTAGCTATCCTCAATCCAGACCGACCCATCTCTTGCACAGCATCCATGCTCTGTACAAGAGTGATTCTGAGAATAGTCTATAGTCTGTTATCAGCACACAAGGGGATAGGTAGAAGTGCAAGCATTTAGAACCTTTTATAATTACTGGTAAAATAATTCAAAATCAGTTGAATGTAGCAACAGAAACCCAGGATCTGGATTTTACATTTTTTCCTAGTAATTCATTCTTATTTTATAAAAGTAACTTCTGTGCTCGCTTCGGCAGCACATATACTAAAATTGGAACGATACAGAGAAGATTAGCATGGCCCCTGCGCAAGGATGACACGCAAATTCGTGAAGTGTTCCATATTTAAAAAGAAAAAAAGTAACTTCTATAAAGAATTAAAAATTAAAAAATAAAAAATGATCCTTTACCACAAATAGCTTGATAGTTTGGGAAGCACTTGACTATGAATTTCCCTTTTCTCTTCATCAAAACCATGTCTGCAGTAGAGGAAGAGTATAAGGGTGTTAGACAAGGAATGGGTACAAGCTGGAGAGGGAAAAGATCAGCTGTCCCCAGGTGAAGGGGGAACCAAGAATAAGGTACACTTTGTAAACTGAGATTTGGCTTTCTGGTTTTAAAGGAAGTAGCAGAGTACCAGAGAAATGTCTATCTGTGTTTTATTGACTATGCAAAGGCACTTAACTGTGTAGATCACAATAAGGTTGTGGCTAACCTGGAGAAGAATGGGAATCCCAGAACACTTGATTGTGCTCATGCGAAACCTATACTTGGACCAGGAGGTGGTCATCAGAACAGAGCAAGTAAACGCTGCATGATTCAAAATCAGGAAGGTACATCAGAGAGGCATTCTGTCTCCATACCTTTTTAAACTACATTCAGAACAGATCGATCATTCAGGAAGCTAGGCTTTATGAGGAGGAATGTGGCATCAGGATTGGAGGAAGACTCATCAACAACCTGTATTATGCTGATGACATAACCTTGCTGCTGAAACTGAGGAAGACCTGAAGCATTTGGAGTGTAGCTTGCAACATGGAATGAAGCTCAATATCAAGAAAACAAAGATTATCAACCTGGGCCAAGTGGCAATATCATGGTAGATTGAGAAGCAATTAAGATTGTTAACAATTTCCACTTGCTTGGTTCCACAAGCAACACTCTTGGCACCAATAGTGAGGAAATCGAAAGCGGAACTGCATTAGGAAAATCTGTCAGGGACCTTTCTGGAATGATAAAGAGGAACGATGTCAGTTTTCAGACTAAGATGTGCCTGATCCAGGCCATGGTCTTTCCAAGTCCCTGTTATGCATCAGAGAGCTAGACAATGACAAAAGAGGAGAGAAGAAGAATTGATGTCTTTGAGTTGTGTTGCTGAAGAATACTGAACATACCATGGACTGTCAATAGCATTAACAGGTCTGTTCTGGAGAAGGTGAACTCAAGCTGTTCCTTGTTGTGTTGTTGTTGATTGTCATCGAGTTGAGCACAACTCATAGTTACCCTGAAGCCCTGAACAAAAGGCCTGAAGCCCTTCCACAATCATCACCATTTATCAAAGGTCACAGTTTCAAAGGCATGCTGTTTAGGAAGTGGATGCCAATCCTCTTAGAGGCAAGGATTTTGAGGTTCCATCTCAGATACTTTAGGTATACGGCGAGGAGGAACCAGTCCTTAGAAAAGGACATCATGCTCAGAAGGGTGGAGTGATAAAACAGGATAGGAAGAAGATTTAACACCATTGAGTGTTGGAGAAGAATGCTGACTATCCCATAGACTGCCAAAAAAACAGATATGTCATGGAGAACGTGTAGCCAGAGTGCTCCTTAGAGATAGGAATGATGAAGATTCATCTCACTCACTTTGAGCACGTTGTTAGGAGAGGATATTCCTTGGAAAGGTGCATCGTGTTTGGAAAGGTGGAGGGTCGGCGAAAGAAAGACCCTCAACAAGAAGGACAGATACACTGACTGCAATAGGCTCAAGTATGTCAGAGATCATGAGGATGGCACAGGATAGGACAAGGTTCATATGTGTTGTTCATAGGGTCTCTATGAGTTGTACTTGACAGCACCTAACAACACATATGATTGCAGAGATTCTTATTGTTTCAAAAACTAAGTTGTAACATGTCCCCTGCCCAAATTTCTTCAATGGCTGCTGCATTTCCAAGCCAAAATGTACAGCATAACCTTCTCACTGTTCCACCAGGTGTCCTGCAGCTCCAGGCTTTCTGGGCTATCGTTGCTCCATGTCTCCATCATATTCTTGAATAGCTAATATCATTCACCTACAAAGATTCCTTCAAACTCCATCTCCCTCTGTAACTCCCCAGTGTCTCACTCCCTATTTACCACTAGTAATTCGTATGTACTTTAGAATAGCACTGATATCACTGTATATAATGATTTGTTTTTTCTCTCTTCTCCCTAGTCTTTGAACTATATGAAAACAGGACTGCATCATAAGACTTTGTATTTAATAATGAATAAATACAGTTGTTAAAAAAACCGCAGCTGAAGACACATCACAGCTTAGTCATGAAAAAAGGCTAGAAGGTAACATTTTCACATTCAGTCTCAGCAAAGTGACTTGAGCCACTTTTTAATTTACCCAATGAATAATATACATTCAAAAGTTAACTACAGTTGAAATTTCTATAAAATAAAATGGAGATGTGGGGGAGCCCTTTCCCCTTTTTAGATAGAGTACCAAGTTCAATATCCTTTCTTAATGGCATACCACTCTAGAAACAGCGTTTCTCTCCCAGAAACTGTAACCCAGCTATGAGGTTACTCACTGGAGTTGAGAAGGATCATGGCCTTGACACAGAGATATTCTTTGTGTTGGAGTTTCAACTCTCGAAACCTTGAAGTTGTTGCCAGGAGCATGTCGAAGACTTCCAAAATTCCTTCTACACACTTCCCTTCATCCCTACAAAAGATCATTTGGAAATTTAAGAAATGTTCCCCAAGACTACCATTTAAGGATGATGCCAACTTCAGGCATCCATCAAAAGCAGTAAGGAGCAGGTTCTTTTCAATTTCAAATATTCTTTAGCTAGTAAGATGTTACTAAGACCAGATCTAGTGATAAGAAATTACTGTTGTTGTTGTGGTGGTGGTGGTGGTCGTCGTTTGATACCACCAACCCAGTTCTGACTCAAAGAGCCTCTACACACAAGAGAACAAAACAAACAACAGAACAAAATCCTGCCCAATCCTGTGTCATCTTCAAGATCTCTGCTCATTGTTGCAGTCCTTGTATGAACCCCTCTCATTGGGTCTTCCTCTCCTTCACCGGCCTTCTAGGTTTCCAAGTATGATATCTTTTTCCAAGGACAGGTCCTGCTTGATAACTTGTCCAAATAAGTGCAACCACGACTCACCATCGTTGCTTCTAAGAAGCACTCTAGCTGCACTTCCAAGACAGATTCATCTGTTCCTTTGGCAACCTATGATACATTCAATACTCTGTCAACACCACCATTCAAAGGTATGCATTCTTCTTTGGTCTTCTTTATTCATTGTCCAATTTTTACAAGTAAATGAAGCAAGTGAAAACACCATGGCTTACTAGAATTATCTTTATGTAAGGAAGACAAGGAATTCAGCATAAATCCCTAAAGCAAACACTTGAATAAACAGTATTTAAGCAAAAGTGCACTAGAACTGCATTCTCTTTCTACCTGAATATTAAATACTTTCCTAAAGAAATGCCTTTTCTGTTGATTTTCAGTCTCAACTGTTTCAACCAGTTAGCATTAGAAGAGACATTTATTATTAAAATGAGACATTCTATTCTTTTAGTGACAATTGGGAAAGGGTGTTATAACTATGATAAATTTAAATCCAAAGGGAGGGACTAAAGTGATGTACAAATACATGATAATAAAATAGGATAGATTAAAATAGAAAACTAACCTGATGGTACCAAAATACAAAAGAATCAAGAAAGAAAGGTAAAAATGGAAATGCAGACCTTTCTTGGTTGCTAGAGATTATTGGTAAGCAAATGTTTTACACAAACTCTAAATGAACTATATATTCAAAATTACTTCAATCACTCCTTCACAAAACTAATTTCAAAGTATACTTCTTAAATTAAATTACATGAACTTTACCTAGAAAAGACCAGCTTGCATTCACTTCCGTGAGACACACATTATTATTCCACCACACTGCTCTCAACAACTTCTACTGTCATCAGTAGTAGAAATGCTGGAGCCACAAAAATCTTCATTTGCCCTTTAAAGCTTACAGCGAGCCCACAGAAAGGACAGTGGTTTTCATTTTGAGTCCCTTTTAGCAACCAGCCCTAGATAAGGTGCTTCTTATTAAAATGAGACACTCTATGCATCCCTCGAGGATAAAACATACAGTGTGTTAATGAGGAAGACCATACACTACAGGCAGCCTGCGATCTACCGAAAAACCAGCAGAGATCTGCATCCTTCCTCTATCCCAAGGCATTTCTAGTAATGGTGAAGCTGGGAAAGGGCTCTTGGAAAAATCCAAGTAAACTGACACTTATGGGTGCCTCCTATTTTGAGAAGACACCTTTAAGAATGGTGCTACTGAATCCAGCAGTCCGGGGCTTTCTCAATTTCAAAAATTCACCAACAGTAGCTTTAACCATAGAAACTGCTTACTCTTGATCAATCCAGGCTTTCCAAAGTGCTTGAGTCATAAGACTCTAGTGCCTCCTATAAGTTGCTAGTAGGCAGGTAAAGCCCATCTCTGAGAATCAAAACAAAACAAAAATTTAAAAAACCAAACCAAACAACAAACCAACCACAAACACCAATAAAAAACCTCATGGTCATCAGGGCAGAACGAACTCATAACTGACCCTCCCAAGAATCCCCAAGGCTATAAATCACACAAAGGCAGACTGTCTATCTTTCTCTCATGGAACTGCTGTGGATCCAAACCATCAGAGAGCCAGAGCCTCTGGGTCAGAAACACAACTTGCTATGGACTACATACCACCAAGCTTCCTAGGCAAATGCTACCCAAACCTGTGAAAGATGTCAAACTTGCTCCAAACCCTCTCACTCCATCTCCCCTCTCTGTTCTAGACTATTCCAAGCAGCCTGGCATAGGCTGTCTGTAAGGATAAATCACACCCAGCACATAGCAGACGCACAAGAAATATTTGTTCACAGAATATCCCTCCTGTCACATTGTCAAGTCACCTTGTGTGGGGACAATTAATTATTGGGCTTGAGAATGTCTGATACTAAGAAATGTCTTTAAAATATCTCTGAGGAGAATAAAACAAAAGACACCAAGTCTTGCATTAATCATTTAATTGTTGTTGTTATGTGCCATCTAGGTCAACCAACTCATAACTGACTCTCCAGCAGGTTTTCAGAGGCTTTAAATCACGTGGGAGGAGCCTAACCAACACTCTGCCTCCCTCCAAGCTGCTAGTGGATTCAAACCACTTACCTTTACGTTGGCAGCACAACTCTACTATGCCACCAGAGTCCCCTTGATGGTTTCATATTTTGGCTATTTATTCTTTCAAGAGTGTCAGTGTCAGTCGGAGGTGGGATTATGAGCCGCTTCCCCCTCCTCCAGCACAGTCCGTGTGGTAAGGGGTCATCTGAAGTCTTCAAACACTGTTTTTCAGAGTTGCAATATGTGCCAAACTCTGATCTCTAAATATTGAAATTACTATCATTTTCTCTTGTTAAAAAATATCACCATTAGTGAAAGTTTGTAAATTAATATTTCAGTAACAGAGAGAGATCTCTTACATTCCAAGGCATCAGTGAAATACCTCAGTGACAAAAAGATAAATACTGCATAATGCAGTTACAGAACAGGACTGATTTGGGGGTTGGAGAGAAAACTTAGAAAAGAAGGAATAAATAATATACACAGCATTGAAACAGACAAGGGAGAGAACTGTATAAAAGAAATATATGATTCGGTATTACTGGCATGACAAGAGTCCAGAATAAGAACTGCATAGTAAAGGGGGGGGTGGGGGGCGGGAAATGATTGTATAACAATGAAAGAAGTTTTTTTCCCCAAAGAAAAAGAGAACTGAGGGGGAGGGGGGACAGGGAGGAAAATGTGCAACAAATGAATGAATAGAAACCCAAGTTCTTTATAAACTTCCATTAAAATCTTGTTTTCAAGTCAATTCCAACTCATTCAACCCTGTAGTTCTGAGGATAATTGGCCTCCAGGGTGCCTGAGGCCACAGATCTTTCAGGGAGCAGACTGCGTAATCATTCTCCCACAGAATGGGTTCAAACCACCGACCTTTTGATTAGCAGCCCAATGCTCAACTCATAGTAATCAGAACATAAATAGCTCATAGAAAAAGTAAAGTTCTAAACCAATTCTAAAGAGCTAGATCTGAGGGCTTTCTTCTTAGCACTGTACCAGCCAACCACTTCATTCACGGTGTGGCAAAGTCAGGATATTTCACTCATTTGCAGGCTGTAAAAATCAAGTACATTTCTGGAGAACTTGTGAGACACACCAGGGTAACAAGGTGCTATCAAGTCTTAATTTGAGTTAAGCAGAACAGATTTGAGAAGGACTTTAAAATAACAAATCGGGCTCTCAGGTGGATGCTGCTGTGTCAGCACGTGGGAGCCCGGGTTCGAGCTCGAAATAAACTTCGCTAATTCAGCTAAAAAAAAAAATAATAACAAATCGATGAAAAACACTTCATTTATTTTATAACCATGGATTTAAAATAAGTAATGGGTTAAGAAACTGAAACAATGAAAATATTTTTCTTAAATTTCTATTTCATTTTCTTTTTAAAAAATTTTTATTTTTTTAAATTAATTTTAATAAACGTTTACAGAGATTTTGGATTTCCATGCTTTCATTGTTGCATTTTTCTCCCTGCCCACCCCTCCCCCCCAGTTTGCTCTTCTCTTTGAAAAGAAAAAGAAAAATTATTGGTATTGAATGCCCCTCCCCTCGCCCTGAGTACACTCCACTATGCAACCTTCATTCTGGACTCTTATCATAACCATAATACCCAGACAACATAAAACTCAAATGTTAAAATATCTCAAATTTTAAAAAAAATCTCAAATCAGCCTATTAATGAAAAGTAACTTTTTTATACCATATGTCCATAAACAGGTCTTAAATAAAAACTGCTAGTGAAATCTGTCACTATTTGATAATTACTTCTTTATTTAAAAAATCTACTCCATTATAAGAAATAGATTTTATTTTGAAGCAAAATATTACCTACAAGCTAGATCTTTTGGCAGCATACCTGTGTTACAGTAAACCACAGTTAACTCAGCAGGTATGTGCCAGTGGGAGAGGCGGGGCAGGGGCTCGAGGCTTAACACATGAAAAGGATTTGATAAATCTATCCTGACCTGAATTGTGGCTAACCTGGAGGAAAATGGGAATCCCAGAACACTTGATTGTGCTTAGGCAAAACCTATACTTGGACCAGGAAGCAGTCCTCAGAACAGAGCAAGGAAACACTGCCTGGTTCAAAATCAGCAAAGGAGTGCGTCAGAGATCCAGCCTGTCTCCATACCTTTTCAATCTATATGCAGAACAGATCATTTGGGAAGCTGAGCTTTATGAGGAGGAATATGGCATAAGGATTGAAGCAAGACTCATCAACAACCTACATTATGCAGATGACACAATCTTGCTTGCTGAAACTGAAGAAGATCTGAAACGCTTGCTGCAGAAGGTCAAGGACTTCAATATGGACTGAAGCTCAACATCAAGAAGACAAAGATGCTCATTACTGGGCCAACTGGCAGCACCGTGATTGAGGTTGTTAACAGTTAAAGCTTGCTCGGCTCCACAATCATACTCTTGGCACCAGCAGTTGGGAAATCAAAAGATTAATTGGGAAAGCCTGCTGTCAGGGAACTCTCCAAAGTACTGAAAAGCAATGATGTCAGTCTAGAGAGTATGGTCTTC